ATGAATTCCAGGTTAACCAACATCTTAAAAATTACTTAAAATATACTTTATGGAAATTGTACTTTAATATCAATTATGAAACCAAATGACGGCAACAGTTACTTTAAAGGGGACTTTAGTGTAAAGTCTCATTTCGGTAAAGTGGACTTTAGATATTAATTATGAAAATCGGCCGTTAGTGGCGTAATTTGACTTAGGAGTTGATTCTCTTTAAAACTATATTAGGGTTTCCTATACCTATCTCTTCTGCTTTTTACACAAAAGGCGATTTTATATTTTACTTATGAGTAATTTTTTTATCTTTAAAATGTTCTTGAAATCTGCTCATCATGTAGCATCTGATAATGCAAAACAATATAGGGTGATCCATTTAAAAAAAAAATGTGACATCCTCTGGGGGTGTGATAATGGAAGTAACATCAAATGTGAATATGCCAAAATGTGTCCCCCTGTATACTATTGTTGACGTAATGAAAAGAGAAATGAAAATTTTTATGTTTTTTACCACTTTCAACGTAGAAATAACATAGAAATTTTCATTTCTCTCTTCATTATGATCTCCTACAATCAGCCTTTACTACTTCTTTATGCCCTTCCAGATGGAACTCCAGTAAACACAGACAACGCCCCAAAGCAAATTACACCTCTTTTCACTGATAAAGTTAATAAGAAACCTCCTCAATCTGTATTAAGAAGGTCTGTCACACCTAGTCCAGAGAAACCAATCATTGGATCTACAAGACGTGCCATAACACCTAATCCTGATGGAACATCTGCAAACCAAAAACCACCATTGCCACGGCCATATAGCGAATATCAGAATCTTTCAATAATACAAAATAACATCTACCAGTCACAAGAAGTAGACGTCGTTGATGGAAATACCAACAGGAAAGACCCAGAATATGCGATGAGAAAAACGTTAGATTTTAACAAACCACAAACTGGTATACATCGAACTTTAAGTAACGGTTCTTCCTCTGGCTTGGAAGGAATGTCTATACCAGATCATATGAATGTGCCAAGGAGAAGGGATAGTGGTAACTGGAGTGGAGACAGAAACAGTGCCTCTTCTGCTTCATCCACTACAATGGAAAATCCATATTTGTATCTTGTGGGAAAGGTACCAAATGGCGGAGGAAGTGTTCCTGGCAGTCCCACTAGAATCAAAAGTGATTCTTCAAGTGGGAGTAGCGGAGTTTATGATGCTGGATATGATTCATATTCGTTGTCTTCTAATGACAGTTCGACTGTGACAACCTTACAGCACCTCATGAAAATGGGTCATCTAGCTAAAATACCAGAAGATTACAACAACCCTTCAACCAACCAAAATATGCCAAGTTGTGACGTACTCTGCGATGAAGCTGATGAATTGTTGGTCAAATCAAGGCAGTTGGAAGATGAACATGATTTAGTTCTGGCATTAGCATTATGTAATGCAGCAGCCACAAAAGCCCGAGCAGCAATGAATGCTCCTTATAATAACCCCCAAACATTAACTTTGGCACGAATGAAGCACAATACTTGTATAATGAGAGCAAGAAGTTTACATCGTAGAATGACGCAGGTGCAGATTTCGAACAAGGAGAACCCCCCAGAAATAAGACATACCCGAGAAGGTAGCAGCGGCAGTGGTAGACACTCAAGGCAAAATTCTAGAGACAAGGGTAATCACTCCAGACAAAACAGTAGGGAGCTATTAGTTCCTGAAAAAGAGAAACTTCAGCCAACGAAAAATATCGAAATATATGCAACCTTGCCCAAGAAAAAAGATGGATTGAAGAATAAGTTATCAATAAATTCTACCGAAGATGAAGAATACATGCTTTATGACAAACCCGCCAACAGGGAGTCAAGATCCATATTCTCCAGATCCAAAAATAAAGACCAGAAAAACAGGGAAAAAAGATCGAGGAGTGAGGATAGAAATAAACTCTCTAAAGATTTTTCTGTAGCTCCAGAAATTACAACTGGTAAAGACACTTTGAAAAAAGCTAAGGAAGAGAAGGATGATAAGAAAGACAAGGAAGGAAAATCTAAAAAACAACACAAAATTAGGAGGAAACTATTGATGGGCGGTTTGATAAAACGTAAAAATCGCAGCATGCCTGATTTAACGGATGCAGTCAATGAAAGTCCAGCACAACCGGCTGTTACTACAGTTGATGACAGCAATTTGGGGCTGAAAGGTGAGTTCATTTCTATATTTCTTGACTTTCAAAGATTAGAGACTACGAAGTTCAATATTTCATTTCCACTATTGTGGAAATTATTTGTAATGTACTAACTGGTAAAGTAATACAAACGAATGATAAAAACTTTAATTGAAAATAATCATACAAGAATACACAGCATACCGAAAGGATATGCTACAAGAAGGGGCACACGCCCCCTCCCGGGTTGAGTGCCCTGAAGTAGAAGCTCCCCCCCAGCTATTTAGCGGGGAGAACCTACTACCCCACTCCATCCACCCCCGCTCTCCGAGTGATGGGCACTCCAACTGATGGGCACTTCAGCAAGATTGACATCTGACCTCTTTTGGTCAAAAGTCAGCCTTTAGGTGTTATTCTTTCGCGATCGGTAAAAAGTGTTTTGTCTGACTATTCCTAACTGAATTTTTGCATGGGGGCCCCCAAAAACTAACCGGCGGCTATTGCTATTAACGTCGGGCGTTCCTCAATGAATCTAAGTATAATTGGATCGCGGTCGAGTTGTTCTCCGGTAAACTTGCTTAAAGAAAATCTGATTAGTGTGCTTACCGGAGTCGCCTGACGGCGACTCATGGGGGCGGTCTTTGGTTCTGCTTCGTCGGCCTTGAATATTTGTCCCTTTCTCGGAACCTGGGGTCATCCATGTTCAACGCATTGTGTAAATCGCGTAGCGCTGGGTTGTTGTGCGATCTGATTCTATCGAACACGCTTCATGTTCTCTCATATACACGTCCACATATTGCGTGTCCAGATCTAAGTCTCTGTATATATATATCTATTTGGGATATAGTACGGCGCGTTTACGGCAGCCCTTACGCTCGCGTTCATAAACGACTGTATCTGCTTCCTGTATGTCTGTGCGCACTGGCCCTAGGCAGTGCAGACATACAGTATTATGGGCATGAGGACGGTTTTGATCATTAGCAACTTCACTTTCAACCCCATGTTGCTTCTGCGTCCTGTGATAGGTGCCAGTCGTTGTCTGGCGTATCTAGCCATTCCAATTCTCTGCCGTACATGAGACTGAAATGTTAATCTCCTGTCTAAGATGACCACATGCTAACCTAACCTAACCTTATATACTATTTTACAAAGAAGAAGAACCATGATTGTTACATTGTGGAGTATACAGACAATTATGCATTCTTACAATACTACAATCACCTCCTCTCACAAATCAAGACGCTGGAGTGGCTTAATATTTCTTTTAGGCCTACCATCTATTTGTAACAGTAGCTAGCCTAATGTTCAAATTAGGTATATTGCTAGCTACTGTACAATTGTCTTGCTCCGTCAACTAAACTGTATAATCCTTATTCTCCAAGTCAGTGTCCTTTAATAGCTCGTTTTCGAGCTATTTATTTACTCGAGGTGACACTATTACACTATTTTGCCTTATTGAAGGAACTGGTCATCGCTTTCAACATTATCTCGCAATATTATCACTGACATCTTGTCGTATGTCTTTGTTTCCGATATTAAAAGCAGATACATTTTTAAGAATTTGATTTAAATGCCTTTTCTAAACGGCATCTTTATGTACTAATTTACATAAATATATTCTATCTCCTAAAATTTCATGTATAATACCTTCTACCCAACCTTTTTCATTAGGACTTCTGAAATCTCTACACCAAATTTTCTCGCCTACCACAAAGTTTCCTTCTCGGGCCCCCTTATAATTTAAAACTTGCCTGTCGGCTTTGTCTGTATTTTGCATTCCAATTCATCATTATGCTTTTGACAAACGTGCTCCAATTTACACTGTAAACAGAAAACATAAAGCATCCCCGTATATAACTCATAATATCAAATTGATGATGAAAACCCGTGATAGAACTCATGCCAAATATCTTGAAGAAAATACAGCAGCAGCTAGACAGTACTATGTAACTTCACGCAACCACGTCAGTGACGTAGTAAAACGTGAAAAAACAGCATATATACAATTTGTTTTGAAGAAAAATAGAAATAATTCAAAAATGACATGGAGAAATCTTGCAAATTGGGGTGTTACTACAAAATCTTCCTCGCAAACCAATAGCCTGCCAATTGAACTACGTAGACCTGAAGAAATCAATGACAATTTTTTAAATCTAAAGAAATGAACTTTAAACGTTCAAGCCAGTCTCGGATATACCTACACAGTAGGTTGAATGGACTGACGCATATCGGAAAACTACTACTCCCCTGGCTAATACCACGAAGGGCGTTAGATTATATCCGACAGGCTTCAGTGCAGTCACTATCTTGCACTGATGAGTGGCTAATGAGCCCGAAACCGGTCTGCAAGTGTGCCCGTTCCAGAATTGAAGGTCGACTCTTTCAGTTGTATTGCCAATTGCATATGCAGGAAATTTTCTGTGAAGATTCCTGCACTGACGTTTGTCGGATATAATCCAACGTCCTTCGTGGTATTAGCCAGGGATGTAGTTGTTTTCTGATAGGCGTCAGTCCATTCAACCTACTGTGTACGTATATTCTAGACTGGCTTGAACGTTAAAAAGTTCATTTCTTTAGATTTGTTTACTGCCAGCCTTCAAGCATTGGCTAATAAGAAAGTATTTCTTCCTTATTCAGAGGAATCGGGCAAATTTCGGATATGCAGTTGTTCAGTACCTCGTCCACTAGATGGAGTGACATTTTGTTGTTCGGTCCAACTTAGGAAGAGGAATGAAACACTCTGAAAAAATTCCGATTTTCAATTATGGAATATCATTGACTTTAGTTCGATCACGGCCTCTATCTGGCACTGATGAGTGGCTAATGAGCCCGAAACCGTCAGTCCATTCAACCTACTGTATAGGTATATCCGAGACTGGCTTTAACGTTTAAAGTTCATTTCTTTAGATTTGTTTACTTCCACTCTTCAAACATAGCCCACTGAATAATAAGAAAAGACTTATTTTTAAACGTGGCTGGACATTCAATAGTAAATAATAACACTCTTTCATTCTACAATAATTATAAATTGAAGGTTCCTATGAATTTTTTCCTCACCGATATATATATGTGATGGTGATATTTTGACTGCTATCAAAGAAATAAAATCTAATGCTTTAGGTATTGACAATATAAATATCAAGATGATTTCTTTAGTGATAACACACTGTTTAGATGAAGTTAAACATATTTTCAATGAGTCCTTCAGACACAGGGTATTTTTCCAGATGTTTGGAAGGTTGCTAATATAATTCCAATTCCGAAAAAGAATGCATCTACCACGTTCAGTGACCTACTCCCATCAGCATTCTACCCGCATTCTCTGAAATATTTGAGAACAAAGTTTCCCGTCAAATAAAAGCTTTTTTTAAAGAAAATCGAATATTCCCTTACGAGCAGTCTGGGTTCCTCAAAAAACACGGAACACAGGCTGCCCTCTTGAAACTAATCGACGATTTTGCGAGATTACGAGATCAATCAAAGGTCACCACTTTAGTACTGCTTGATCAAAGTAAAGCTTTCGATTTACTCATCAGCAAGCTCAAGTTTATAGGATTTGATGACATTTCTCTTTAATGGATGTCGAGCTATCTCATAGGCTGATCACAGAGGGTCAAACTGAATGATTACTCATGGTCATCCCTAAAAGAAACAATCTCAGGTGTACCACAAGGAATTATTTTAGGACCCTTGATGTTTTCACTGTTTATTTTTGATTACTCCATTTTCTTATCATATTGTCAAGTACATCTATACGCAGATGATATACAGTTATATTTGTCTTCTCATAACACCGATACAGAAAGTTGCGTGGCCAATATAAACACAGATTTGCACAAAACATTCTTTCACTCAGAGAATCATGGACTGAAAATCAATCCAAACAAAACTTTGGCCTTATGCATAGGGTCTCAAAGACAAACTTTAGGCTCACTCGCGATAACGCAGATATTGACTGGGTATCACGTTTATAGTATCATTCTTCAAACTCAAATCTCTATATAAATTCAATTATCAGTTATCAGAAAAAATGAAACTCAGGTTACCTGAAACTCTTATTAACCCCTATATCGAGTATTGTTGTTCGGTGTATTAAATTTTTTTGCCGCAATATAACAAGCACAGGTTACAACGTATACAAAATGCTTGTATGCGATACGTATGGTGTATACCATATGGTGATGTAACACCATTTTTGTCAAAAATGAAGGGGCTGATTGTGAGGTACAGAGTCCAATATTAGTTATTCATATAGTTTATCAAGCAGGTATTCTGACATACATATGTTCAATTTGAGAATTAACTCATTCAACATTAGGTACCGTACTTCCAAATTTCAAGCATGTTTTTCTTATATAGCCCCTTCTTATCTGAATGAAATTTCACCCTTTTTAAATCATAATGTTCATCAATTTTAGAAAGAAATAAAATCACAGATGCTTACTGCTCAGTGCTAATTTTTGAAAAATTTAAAATCCAATGTATGGTATTGCAATGAAATTGTCAAATTGACCAAAATAATGTTGAGAATATTAAGAGTTATTAGCAACTATATGATCTATTATTTTTTCTCTTCTCTATCACTGTTATGATAGTAAATAAGTGGAAGATAGCCTTTGGCTAACCCTTTTTCTTTTATGTATAAATGTATTTTTTATGTATAATAAACGATATTATTTTTTTGGGAAAGAAAGTTTTTGGCTTTCTACTACTCCATCTTGATACAAATCTTCTCAGTAGCTATTAATACTTTCTCATAGAAGGAGATAATTGCTGTTGTAGTAGAGTATTGGCTACGAAAACCATGATGATTATCCATAATAACTTTGTTCCTCTCTAAAAACGATACCAGTTGATTTAGAACCACATATTCAATTACTTTTGATATTATGTCTATCACTGTTATGATAGTAAATAAGTGGAAGATAGCCTTTGGCTAACCCGTTTTCTTTTATGTATAAATGTATTTTTTATGTATAATAAACGATATTATTTTTTTGGGAAAGAAAGTTTTAGGCTTTCTACTACTCCATCTTGATACAAAAAAAAGGATGAGGGGATCTTCCAAAAAAAGGAAGGAAGTAATCAATTTGAATGGCTGTGTAGATCATGCAAAGAAGTAACTTTCAGACACAAACTGAAAGAAAGTCCTCCTGAAACAGCTACTTTCATATAAACATTGAATTACACGAAAGAAAAAAATTCTTTCGAAACAAATACTTCTACATGAACACTGAATTATACAGAAGATACTTTCCTCTACTCAGTTTGTATTCCAAACGTTCGTTGTGGATTAAAATCAGATATCATTCACATGAGTTCTACTTTAAATGAATGATAACAAATTGCACTTACATGGAACACTGTCATCCAAAAATTAATCACTCCTAAAAATATAACCCCTTCAATTAACGATATTATTATTATTGAAAATAAAGTTTTAAGATCAATTAATAAAGCAGAAAAACCAAATACAAATATGAAATCAAAGTGATGTGGAGGAACTGATTGATTTAATTGAATTAGTCATGTCAATCAATTTTAAAGTCTTGATTATATTAGAGAATTCTGATGATTTTTATTTTCCAGGTACCATGGAAAATCAAGCCAGTTTGTGTGGTTATTTATCAGAGGGTCACTTGGAGTTTGCTGGAAATAACCCCAACCCAAATCTGGAGCGAAGCAAATTGATGCGGAAAAGTTTCCATGGTAGTGCAGGAAAAATTTTGACGGTTGCCAAAGTGCCTCCCCCACCACCCCTCAGAACTACTTCCCAGCTTAGTACGTCTAAGTTAAACAGTGGAGAAGTTTGTAATGAGAGCGAAAGACTGAATTTCACGCAGCCAAGTGGTATCTACTATCAGGATGAGTGTCACTACATGAATCAATCTCCAGTTTCTTTGCCATATTACAACAATTCATTCAGCGATGAAAGTTTCTACAGTAATGGACCAAATATGGTTGTAACTAGGGCTGATGTTCATCGGGAGCAAAGCTCTGACGTTTCACCATCTCATAATGCTGATAGCGGAGTCGATGAGGTAGACTGCTTTCCAACTCATAGTTTGAATCAAAATCTTGAACTGCCCCCGTACCCGAGTCCAATGGGATCAGTGGTTCATTCAAGACAAGCTAGCGAGGATTTCCCACCACCACCTCCACCATTAGACTTATCTGCATTGGACGAATACCTTCCTCAGTTGACACAACCGACTACTCTGTTGACCCAGTTACAAAACAAGAGACAGGAAATACTTTCACAAGAAAACGATTTGCAGAAATTAAGTGGAGTCTCAATCAAGTCAACAGGCGATACTTGGCTGAAAGAATTACAAGCGAAGCAGGCCGTACTTAGAAGTAAAAAGAATCAGATTGACGGTTCTAATGATGGAATAGATGTGGTAAATACTCAACGGTATCTTTCTGGCGAAAGTAACGTGAAATCTGTCAGAGACTTGGCATCAAAATTTGAAACAACTGATCCGAGACTCACAGTGCCTAATTACAAACCATTAGATCCTGTCAAAAGTGATAGTAACGGTGTTCTTTCGATGAAAAAACGAGAGGAACCGGATCCTATCGCCCCTGAACAAATAGCCGAGGAACTCAGAGAAGTCGAAATGCTCAATGCAGCAGTACAAAAAACCCTGAGTAGCAACCAAGAGGCCAGCGATGACGCTAAAAAACGGTTGAACAAGAAGAAAAGTGTTTCATTTTGCGATCAAGTCATTCTCGTAGCAACAGCTGATGAACAAGAAGATGACAGTTTCATCCCTAATCCTATTTTGGAGAGAGTACTCAGAACTGCCATGAATAAACCAGAGACTGCAGCTATCAGACAAGAAATTATGACACTGAGGGAAAATGAAGGGAAAGAGGAAAAGGCAGTGTTTGTCCCTAACGCCAATGAAATCTATGATAAACAGTTATACGTGAGGAGGAATTCTGCTGATAATTTGTTGAGCAAACAAAATGAACAACCAGTTCAAAGACAGAGTCCTACTTGTAACCAGCCAATTTACAGTGGGCAAAATAGTTACTACGCCAACCAAAATATTCATTACAGCGGACAAGTGAATACAAACTTATATAATAGTCACCCATCAAACGGTACACATAATTCACCCGTCATGCAGGGCCACGCTCAACTGTTGAGACAAAATTCACAAAGTGATTCAACAGTAATGCAAGGGCAAGTATTCAGACAAAGTGCACAGAGTGATGCCCATGGCAGACAAATTTACCCAAACGAGCAATATAATAGTCAGCTTCCACCATATACCTGCCAAAACAATTTATACGACGCACAATGCACTAGCGACTGCTCCCTCATTCAAAATCAAGTTCATGCTACAGGAAGCAGACAATCACCTTATCAACCTCTTCCTCAAAATTCCCCAGCTTATTCAGCATATTTCAACAGAGCTCAGAACAATCAATATGTATCAACACCCAGATCAGGTTTCAGTCCTCATATCAGATCTTCTACACCAAGTCCCATGAATGGCTACCCCTCTTATCACACCCCTTCCCCTGTTCCTTCTAACTGCAACTATCAGCAGAATGTCTATCGAGGTTATGGTGCCTATGACCCTCCTATTCCGAATACACCCTACCAAAGAATACCGCACCCAGATCAGAACAGACAACTTGGTGAGAACGGTTTCAACCAAACTTATGCAAGACACCAAACTGATCAGTTAGCGCAGGGTTCTCCCTATCAACGAGTGCCTGTTTCTTCTGAACAAGTTTTAGCTTATCAAAGAACACCTACCAACGAATATGACATGCAGGCAAGTTTGGCTCATCAACGGGTACCTTATCCCACAGACGTTTATCAAAGGATACCCCAACCTCATATCGAGCAAGATGTTGCAGGGCAGCAGGAAAAATATTCACCTTACCAGCATATCCCGGCAATGAAACAAATCTTGAAGAAAACTGTTAGTTTTGAACCAGGAACGAAAGGTGGGAGTGAGTCTCCAGTTCCAAGGGCAGTTGTTACCCCCATTATAGTTAACAATGCGAACAATAGTGTACCTACAGATAAAACAAAGTGCAATTTGTGTCGAAAGAAGAATGTCGTGGCCTTAAATTTGTATTGTCAAGACTGCGAATTCTATATGTCTAGATTTAAGCCTCGAAGTTAACAATTTTATTAGCTGTACATATGTAAATGTTGTTATGTAAAATGTGATATTTTGTTCAAATTTTTATAACAAATTTTATATTTTTTATATGGAGATCTCTTGTAGCATTTTTAAGACGTTTATAGTTCGTGAATGTAAATATGTATA